TCTATAGACAGAAACATGTCCCTCTATAGACAGAAACATGTCCTTCTATAGACAGAAACATGTCCCTCTATAGACAGAAACATGTCCCTCTATAGACAGAAACATGTCCTTCTATAGACAGAAACATGTCCTTCTATGGACAGAAACATGTCCTTCTATAGACAGAAACATGTCCTTCTATGGACAGAAACATGTCCTTCTATGGACAGAAACATGTCCCTCTATAGTGTTAAGGATTTCAGTATTAGAAATATTATAAGTAGGATTAAATAACACCCCTAGTGGTGAGTAGAAGTGTCACAATAATAATAATAATGTCAAAATAGGTTAAAAAGTCACAAAATATTTACTTATGGAATGTATTATGTTTACAACATTCTTACTTGTAGAGGATATTATGTTACATTATTTTACTCATTGAATATATTAAACCATAGAAGTATAGTCACTAAAGGTATTAAAACACTGTATGAATAGTTTTGAGGGTCAGAAAGGGAACATTTTGAGTGAGACTTTACAGAGGTGCAGCAGAGAACAGAGGGATGGACAACTGACCACCAGGACCTGAGGAGGAGTCCGGACGACTTCAACCAAACACTGAGATGATAACTGCCCCAAGCCAGGAGGGGCTATTGAATTTCGGCCAATCACAGAGGCTGATACTGGACATTTAAACTTCCGGACAGAGACTTTTAAATATAGGCTTAGTTCCAGAGGGTTTTTGCCAGAGTTCGCGCCGTTACCACTCTGGGTAGTTTACCAGCTGGGCTGGGCTATTTGGGCCTTGTGAGAACTCTGCCCTGGGGACATATTGATATCGATAGAGTAATTCAGTTTGCAACTGTTCTTTCTAGCTTCTCTTGTTTATTAAATACTTTTTGATTGTTAACGGGATCCAGTTCATTTTTGGTGCGACTGGAAAGTCCAGCGGTCTGGGTCTCCCCTGAAAACATCTAACCCTAACAATAGACAGAAACATGTCCTTCTATGGACAGAAACATGTCCTTCTATGGACAGAAACATGTCCTTCTATAGACAGAAACATGCCCCTCTATAGACAGAAACATGCCCTTCTATAGACAGAAACATGTCCCTCTACAGACAGAAACATGTCCTTCTATAGACAGAAACATGTCCCTCTACAGACAGAAACATGTCCTTCTATAGACAGAAACATGTCCCTCCATAGACAGAAACATGTCCTTCTATGGACAGAAACATGTCCCTCTATAGACAGAAACATGTCCTTCTATAGACAGAAACATGTCCTTCCATAAATGTTTCACAAGACGCCTAAAAGAAACTCTAACTGCTGTGTTTATGTGTTGGTGTTCATGTCTCTAGTTTAGCTGTTATATTACATTTAGAGTTGTTTCACTCATACTACATACTACTCACGCTTACTCTCTCACACACTACACACAGTACACACACACACACACACTCCACACACTCTCTCACACACACACACACACACACACTCCACACACACACACACACACACACTCAATGACACTATGTTTATCTTCTTTCTTCTGTTTGTTTGCAGTGATGTAAAGTCTCTGCATATCTTATTTATCTTCATATCATAGAGGTGAGGTTGTCTTCCTGCCTCTTCCTGCTCTGTCATATTATCTGTTATCTTTGTTTATCTTTAATGCTACTGTTTGAATTGTGCAAAATAAAATAAATGAATAAATAATCTTAAACAGTGACGTTTGATCAGAGAACTCTTTTTGCTGACAGTCTTTGAATACATCACGACCTCTGAGTGTGTGTGTCGGTACCTGGGGACTCCTGGGGGGGCCGCTCTGTTGGGTCTGGAGGGGATGGAGGGGGGTCCTGGATCAGGAGACACTGCGGGACGAGAAGGAGGACCGGGGGCCGCTCGACCACGAGGAGGACCAGGAGGGGCCCGACGCTGGGGGGTCGGGCTGGACATGGGGGACCTGCAGAGACCGGCGGAGAGACTCTGTGACTCGGGAACTCAGGACACGGGTACCGGACCGTGGACCTGTTGCTAGGTTACCTGCGTCCTGACGGCATCCCGGTGACCTGAAGCCACGAGTCGTCTACCGGAGGAGGCATCGTCGTGGTGATGGTGGACGTGCTGATGTCACCGATGATGTGGAGACCTTCACGCAGAGCGTGGTACATCTTCAGCATCTCATCACGGTGCTGGGCCTGGGGGAGAGAGAGAGGGCGAGATTGGAGGTTCATAGATTCTCTCAGCCCCTGTCGGTCTCTCTATCAGCCCCTGTCGGTCTCTCTCTCAGCCCCTGTCTGTCTCTCTCTCAGCCCCTGTCGGTCTCTCTCTCAGCCCCTGTCTGTCTCTCTCTCAGCCCCTGTCGGTCTCTCTCTCAGCCCCTGTCTGTCTCTCTATCAGCCCCTGTCGGTCTCTCTATCAGCCCCTGTCTGTCTCTCTCTCAGCCCCTGTCTGTCTCTCTATCAGCCCCTGTCTGTCTCTCTATCAGCCCCTGTCGGTCTCTCTCTCAGCCCCTGTCTGTCTCTCTATCAGCCCCTGTCGGTCTCTCTCTCAGCCCCTGTCTGTCTCTCTATCAGCCCCTGTCTGTCTCTCTCTCAGCCCCTGTCTGTCTCTCTCTCAGCCCCTGTCTGTCTCTCTCTCAGCCCCTGTCGGTCTCTCTCTCAGCCCCCTGTCTGTCTCTCTCTCAGCCCCTGTCGGTCTCTCTATCAGCCCCTGTCTGTCTCTATATCAGCCCCTGTCTGTCTCTATATCAGCCCCTGTCTGTCTCTCTCTCAGCCCCTGTCTGTCTCTCTATCAGCCCCTGTCGGTCTCTCTCTCAGCCCCCTGTCTGTCTCTCTCTCAGCCCCTGTCTGTCTCTCACCTGTTCCTGGGACTCCTCCATCAGGGTGTTCTGGTCTCCACAGGAGTAGAGTTGAGCCAGAAGGTCTGAGTGGATGAACTCCTTCGTCTGAGGACAGAGAGGTCAGGTGACCTGTGACATCACTTCCTGTGT